TGAGAAGCAATGTATTTATTTTTTTGACCATTTTAATTGAAAACAATGACAGTAAGCTACTGGGTGCCCAGAAATTATTTGATAGTGAGATAAAATGACTGCATTTGACCTTTAAAAACACCATTACAATGCAATGTAAGTGTCAATGTCAGCCCCCTATAATGCCGTTAACTTTGAAACATCAGCCAACTGCAGTAATCTACCCTTAAATATTATGTACTTATTACGAATTCAATTTTCTCTACAAATTGGCATAACCATGTGACTTGCACTTGCTGAAGATGACTCTACTAATGGATCATACATGTGTTGTTAATACAGTTTATCATGCATGCACTTCATGGGAGTATGAATATGGGTAAATAGAGAGAATGATTTGCATTTAACTACTGTATCATCTAAGATGTATGTGGAAGTAACCTAGGGTGAGGAGTCAACGAGACAGAGCTCAGTGAGTCAAGTTCACTTCAGACATCCCTTTTTGATAGTCAACGTGAGGGTGCTATAGTCATTGACCTGATCTCACACTCTGAAGCATCCCTTTCGACCTCCTACTAGACTAGAGGTCCACATTCCATATGACTCCTCATACCCGTGTCTAAAGCTTTGTGTCTGCAGCTTCATGCCAATATAGCAACGCTTTAGATAGATCGACAGCTTCTACTACTTTTCTTTAGTCAATTATTCTTACTGATACAAAGGAAATGGGAATTTTAAGCACAAATCTGCTGCTCACCAACAGTCAGTTCATATTGTAATATCAGATGTTAAACGCTATCTGTGATTATTTACATACAGAACACTCACATGTCACATGCTAGAATGCAGAAGAATTTTCATATGAATATTTGTGAATTCATCACTTTATTAAACTGCTACAATTATAATTTATTTCGAGTAATGCTTTGATGAAAATGATTTTATAAAACAATTTATTTCCTTCTCTCCTTTCCCCTGTCCCCTCTCTCCCTCTTGCAAACTTCCCAACTTAATTTTGGTACCACATGGCATGATTTTACTTGATCTTACATTTTTGTTGTATATGTTTAAAATCACAAGTTGCTATGATATTTCATTTGAAATTGTGAAGTTTGTAAAAAATGTATCATGCTGGTGTTGACATCTCTTACTCTGAATAAAACTTGTGTTGCAACACTAACTTGTACTGTTTCCTAAAATGACATTGTTGAAGACATAAAGTATGAGAAGAGAAATAGCCTAGTCAGAGATAATTGGTGCAGTCACTGACCTGACTTGATCAAATCAAATCAAATTTTATTTCATTTGTCACATACACGTGTTTAGCATATGTTATTGCAGGTGTAGCGAAATGCTTGTGCTTCTAGCTCCGACAGTGCAGTAATATCTAACAAGTAATATCTAACAATTTCACAACATATACCCAATACACACAAATCTGATAAGGAATGGAATTTAAGAATATATACATATATGGACAAGCAATGACAGAGCGGCATGGACTAAGATACAGTAGAATATTATAGAATACAGTATATACATATGAGATGAGTAGTGCAAGATATGTAAACATTATTAAAGTGACTAGTGTTCCATTTCTTAAAGTGGCCAGTGATTTCAATAGGCAGCAGCAGCCTCTAATGTGCTAGTGATGGCTATTTAACAGTCTGATGGCCTTGAGATAGAAGCTGTTTTTCATTCTCTCGGTCCCAGCTTTGATGCACCTGTACTGACCTCACCTTCTGGATGATAGCGGGGTGAACAGGCAGTGGCTCGGGTGGTTGATGTCCTTGATGATCTTTTTGGCATTCCTTTGACATCGGATGCTGTAGGTGTCCTGGAGGTCGGGTAGTTTGCCCCCGGTAATGCGTTCGGCAGACCGCACCACCGTCTGGAGAGCCCTGTGGTTGTGGGCGGTGCGGATGCCGTACCAGGCGGTGATACAGCCCGACAGGATGCTCTCAATTGTGCATCTGTAAAAGTTTGTGAGGGTTTTAGGTGCCAAGCCACATTTCTTCAGCCTCCTGAGGTTGAAGAGGCTCTGTTGCGCCTTCTTCACCACACTGTCTGCGTGAGTGGACCATTTCAGTTTGTCAGTGATGTGCACGCCAAGGAACTTGAAGCTTTTCCACCTTCTCCACTGTGGTCCTGTCGATGTGGATAGTGGTCCTGTCGATGTGCACCCTCTGCTGTTTCCTGAAGTCCACGATCATCTCCTTTGTTTTGTTGACGTTCAGTGAGAGGTTATTTTCCTGGCACCACACTCCCAGAGCTCTCACCTCCTCCCTGTAGGCTGTTTCGTCATTGTTGGTAATCAAGCCTACTACTGTTGTGTCGTCTGCAAACTTGATGATTGAGTTGGAGGCATGCTTGGCCACGCAGTCATGGGTGAACAGAGAATACAGGAGGGGGCTGAGCGCGCACCCTTGTGGGGCCCCAGTGTTGAGGATCAGCTAAGTGGAGATGTTGTTTCCTACCGTTACCACCTGGGGGCGGCCCGTCAGGAAGTCCAGGACCCAGTTGCACAGGGCGGGGTTCAGACCCAGGGCCTCGAGCTTAATGATGAGCTTGGAGGGTACTATGGTTTTGAATGCTGAGCTGTAGTCAATTAACAGCATTCTTACATACAGTTGAAGTCGGAAGTTTACATACACTTAGGTTGGAGTCAATAAAACTTGTTTTTCAACCACTCCACAAATTTATTGTTAACAAACTATAGTTTTGGCAAGTCGGTTAGGACACTACTTTGTGCATGACACAAGTAATTTTTCCAACAATTCTTTACAGACAGATTATTTCACTTATAATTCACTGTATCACAATTCCAGTTGGTCAAAAGTTTACATACACTAAGTTGACGGTGCCTTTAAACAGCTTGGAAAATTCCAGAAAATGATGTCATGGCTTTAGAAGCTTTTGATAGGCTAATTGACATAATTTGAGTCAATTGGAGGTGTACCTGTGGATGTATTTCAAGGCCTACCTTCAAACTCAGTGCCTCTTTGCTTGACATCATGGGAAAATCAAAAGAAATCAGTCAAGACCTCAGAAAGAAAATTGTAGACCTCCACAAGTCTGGTTCATCCTTCGGAGTAATTTCCAAACGACTGAAGGTACCATGTTCATCTGTACAAACAATAGTACACAAGTATAAACACCATTGGACCATGCAGCCGTCATACTGCTCAGGAAGGAGACTCGTTCTGTCTCCTAGGGATTGTAGTATCTGAACATTCCAGAATTTGTCTTTGTTTGCGGAAACATCTGGAAAACATTACTATAGGGGCCCCCTAAGACAGAGGAGATTCGGATGTGTGAAGGCCAGGGATTGGTCTATAAAAAACCACCCATATTATGTTATATATTATAAATACCATGGTTGGAACAAAGGACGGGGAGGAATAACATATTAGAGATTGGGTCAGTTGTTCTCCAGATGTCTGCAGGAGTCTGTAAATTGATACTGTTATCTTTGATGTAATAAACCATTATAATCAAGGACAGTATCAGCGGATTTCTTGTCATCACAGCATATCAGCATCGTTGTCTCGGACACTACAGGATGAACATACTTTGGTGCGAAAAGTGCAAATCAATCCCAGAACAACAGCAAAGGACCTTGTGAAGATGCTGGAGGAAACAGGTACAAAAGTATCTATATCCACAGTAAAACAAGTCCTACATCGACATAACCTGAAAGGCTGCTCAGCAAGGAAGAAGCCACTGCTCCAAAACTGCCATAACAAAAGCCAGACTACGGTTTGCAACTGCACATGGGGACAAAGATTGTACTTTTTTGGAGAAATGTCCTCTGGTCTGATGAAACAAAAATAGAACTGTTTGGCCATAATGACCATTGTTATGTTTGGAGGAAAAAGGGGGTATGCTTGCAAGATGAAGAACACCATCCCAACCGTGAAGCACAGGGGTGGCAGCATCATGCTGTGGGGGTGCCTTGCTGCAGGAGGGACTGGTGCACTTCACGAAATAGATGGCATCATGAGGAAGGAAAATTACTTGGATATATTGAAGCAACATCTCAAGACATCAGTCAGGAAGTTAAAGCTTGGTCGCAAATGGGTCTTCCAAATGGACAATGACCCCAAGCATACTTCCAAAGTTGTGGCAAAATGGCTTAAGGACAACAAAGTCAAGGTATTGGAGTGGCCATCACAAAGCCCTGACCTAAATCCTATAGAAGATTTGTGGGCAGAACTGAAAAAGTGTGTGCGAGCAAGGAGGCCTACAAACCTGACTCAGTTACACCAGCTCTGTCAGGAGGAATGGGCCAAAATTCTCCCAACTTATTGTGGGAAGCTTGTGGAAAACTACCCTAAATGTTTGACCCAAGTTAAGCAATTTAAAGGCATTGCTACCAAATACTAATTGAGTGTCTGTAAACTTATGACCCACTGGTAATGTGATGAAAGAAATAAAAGCTGAAATAAATCACTCTCTATTATTCTGACATTTCACATTCTTAAAATAAAGTGCTGATCCTAACTGACCTAAGACAGTGAATTTGTACTAGTATTAAATGTCAGGAATTGTGAAAAACTGAGTTGAAATGTATTTGGCTAAGGTGTATGTAAACTTCCGACTTCAACTTTAGGTATTCCTCTTGTCCAGATGGGATTGTGCAGTGTGATGACGATTGCATCGTCTGTGGATCTATTGGGGTGGTAAGCAAATTGAAGTGGGTCTAGAGCAGGCATGCAGCTGCAAGTTAGTATATCTTCCTGATCTGAATGAAGCTGCTAGAGAACGGAAGAGTAACTATGTTATTGTAAAGGCAAACAACTGTGAGAGAGAAAAACGATGGAACAAATGTCAGGACCTACCAATCCCAAACCAAACACACAAAAAAGCATGAAAACCTTAGGACAGTGTAGCCTAGTAGGCCTTGTACCTTGACACATGAGACAGGCCAGCAAATCAACAGCAACTTCGATCAAAATATCTGATATGTCTGAATTGAAATGTCTATCTCTCTATGACTCAGAGTCCTTGTGGAACTAAGGATGGGTAAGAGCCTCCGCAGCTTCGCGCGTGCCACGACCGTCGTGCAAGGAGCATGCGCTGGTTTTGCTGGTAACTTTTTCCTGGAATCTGTGTTGCTGAATTATCAAATAGCTGCCCTGTACTCAGTGTTTGTTTTGGTTTACAGCTGAAAAAAAGATGTCTGCAACGGAGGACGACACTGAGTTGCGGGATCTTTTGATCCAAACCTTAGAAAACAATGGGGTGTTGAATAAACTAAAGGTAAGTAGGTACAGAACATGTAAAGCCATATGTCGAAAGACTGAGAATGTTGCTGTAACAGAGCTAACGTTACCATTTCGCAATAATAGCTACCTAGCTAGCACATCGTTAATGTTAGCTGGCTATCTGGCCCGCAGTGAAGTACCCGGGTACTGTCATGAGATCTAGTGAGATAGCTAGCTAGCATCTAACTTTGGATAACCAACTGCTAGCCAGTTAGCTAACTCATTTTACAAGCATGCATATTTAGGTACTTAGTTACCTAGCTAGTGTATAGCTAACTAGTTCAGACCAGTTTTTGAGGCCCTCTTGCTTTGGCCAACACTCTCTTTTGGGCTTCTGGTATTTTGCAGGCAGAAATGCGCGCTGCTGTCTTCCTGGCCATGGATGAACAAGATAAAGTGGAGGTAAGATGGATAACTAGCTGACTTGGGAGGATATTAAATCAATCCTGATAGTTTAGGGCTACTTATTGCTTCTCTTTAGTAATGACTTTCATTTTATGGACATGTCTGAAGCATATGATTTAGCTACCTACAGTTGAAGTCGGAAGTTTACATACACTTAGGTCATTAAAACTCGTTTTTCAACCACTCCACAAATTTCTTGTTAACAAACTATAGTTTTGGGAAGTCGGTTAGACATCTACTTTGTGCATGACACAAGTAATTTTTCCAACAATTGTTTACAGACCGATTATTTCACTTATAATTCACTATCACAATTCCAGTGGGTCAGAAGTTTACATACACTAAATTGACTGTGCCTTTAAACAGCTTGGAAAATTCCAGAAAATGATGTCATGGCTTTAGAAGCTTCTGATAGGCTAATTGACATCATTTGAGTCAATTGGAGGTATACCTGTGGATGTATTTCAAGGCCTACCTTCAAACTCAGTGCCTCTTTGCTTGACATCATGGGAAAATCAAAAGAAATCAGCCAAGACCTCAGAAAAACAATTGTAGACCTCCACAAGTCTGGTTCATCACATTTACATTTTACATTTTAGTCATTTAGCAGACGCTCTTAACCAGAGCGACTTACAGGAGCAATTAGGGTTAAGTGCCTTGCTCAAGGGCACATTAACGTCATTTAGCAGACGCTCTTAGCCAGAGCGACTCACAAATTGGTGCGTTCACCCTATAGCCAGTGGGATAACCACTTTACAATTTGGGGGGGGGGGGGGGGTTAGAAGGAATACTTTATCCTATAGCTAACTCATTTGGGAGCAATTTCCAAACGCCTGAAGGTACCACTTTCCTCTGTACAAACAATAGTATACAAGTTTAAACACCATGGGACCACACAGCCGTCATACCGCTCAGGAAGGAGACGTGTTCTGTCTCCTAGAGATGAACATACTTTGGTGCGAAAAGTGCAAATCAATCCCAGAACAACAGCAAAGGACCTTGTGAAGATGCTGGAGGAAACAGGTACAAAAGTATCTATATCCACAATAAAAACAAGTCCTAAATCGACATAACCTGAAAGGCCTCTCAGCAAGGAAGAAGCCACTGCTCCAAAACCGCCATAAAAAAGCCAGACTACGGTTTGCAACTGCACATGGGGACAAAGATCGTACTTTTTGGAGAAATGTCCTCTGGTATGAAAAATGTATGCACTCACTAAATGTAAGTCGCTCTGGATAAGAGCATCTGCTAAATGACTAAAATGTAAATGTCTGATGAAACAAAAATAGAACTGTTTGACCACAATGACCATCGTTATGTTTGGAGGAAAAAGGGGGTAGGCTTGCAAGACGAAGAACACTATCCCAACCGTGAAGCACGGGGGTGGCAGCATCATGCTGTTGGGGTGCTTTGCTGCAGGAGGGACTGGTGCACTTCACAAAATAGATGGCATCATGAGGAAGGAAAAATATCTGGATATATTGAAGCAACATCTCAAGACATCCGTCAGAAAGTTAAAGCTTGGTCGCAAATGGGTCTTCCAAATGGACAATGACCCCAAGCATACTTCCAAAGTTGTGGCAAAATGGCTTAAGGACAACAAAGTCAAGGTATTGGAGTGGCCATCACAAAGCCCTGTCCTCAATCCTATAGAAAATGTGTGGGCAGAACTGAAAAAGTGTGTGCGAGCAAGGAGGCCTACAAACAAACTCAGTTACATCAGCTCTGTCAGGAGGAATGGGCCAAAATTCACCCAACTTATTGTGGGAATCTTGTGGAAGGCTACCCGAACCGTTTGACCCAAGTTAAACAATTTAAAGGCAATGCTACCAAATACTAATTGAGTGTATGTAAACTTCTGACCCACTGGGAATGTGATTAAAGAAATAAAAGCTGAAATAAATAATTCTCTCTACTATTATTCTGACATTTCACATTCTTAAAATAAAGTGGTGATCCTAACTGACCTAAAACAGGGAATTTGTACTAGTATTAAATGTCAGGAATTGTGAAAAACTGAGTTGAAATTTATTTGGCTAAGGTGTATGTAAACTTCTGACTTCAACTGTACATCTGCATAACCTCTGCTTCCACTCTCATTCACTTTCCCCCAGAATAAAACTCCACTTGTCAATGAAAACTTGAAGAAATGTCTTAATACACAGGATGGTAAGCCATGGTTGTATTATCCACCATGATTGTCTGAACAATAGTCTGCTCATCCCATAATCAACATACCTTTCATGATGAGGCTGATCATATCCTTCCCTTTGTAGGACGCCTGGTGACCAGCCTTATCATAGACTTCCTGCAGGTGTTCCACCTAGACTTCACGCTTGCTGTCTTCCAGCCAGAGATAAACTCAGTGAGTGTGTTACTCCCAGTGGACGGGGCTGGCCCGCATTTGGTCAAATAAAATACTTGGAAATGTCAGTGCTGTATTCACCATATTGTGTGTGTGTTATCCTCAGCTAAATGGCCTGGATAGCCGTGAGCAGGTGTCTCGTGAGCTGGGTATCACTGAGGCCGATATGAATAGGAACACTCCTCTGCTGCTGGAGCTCGTCAAGAGAGGCAGACACAGGGAGAAGACCTCCATCTTCTCAGAGGTAAAGACACACCATTGCACAGGGTTTGCCATTTTACATACATTTAGTCATTCACATACAATAGTGTATTCCTTTGCTCTCCAAAGAGCCTCTGACATTAGCAGTTGTCCAAACCCGAAGCCTCCCTGATTTGATTATGCTCTTGAATGGCTACCCTTCACCTCCTTTTAAAAGTGTTTTCAAATCAAATGTTATTTGTCACATACACGTGTTTAGCAGATGTTATTGCAGGTGTAGCGAAACGCTTGTGCTTCTAGCTCCGACAGTGCAGTAATATCTAACAAGTAATGTCTAACAATTTCACAACATATACCCAATACACACAAATCTAGTAAGGAATGGAATTTTAAGAATATATACATACAGTGGGGGAAAAAAGTATTTAGTCAGCCACCAATTGTGCAAGTTCTCCCACTTAAAAAGATGAGAGAGGCCTGTAATTTTCATCATAGGTACACGTCAACTATGACAGACCAAATGAGAAAAAAAATTCCTGAAAATCACATTGTAGGATTTTTAATGAATTTATTTGCAAATTATGGTGGAAAATAAGTATTTGGTCAATAACAAAAGTTTCTCAATATTTTGTTATATACACTTTGTTGGCAATGACACAGGTCAAATGTTTTCACAAGGTTTTCACACACTGTTGCTGGTATTTTGGCCCATTCCTCCATGCAGATCTCCTCTAGAGCAGTGATGTTTGGGGCTGTCGCTGGGCAACACGTACTTTCAACTCCCTCCAAAGATTTTCTATGGGGTTGAGATCTGGAAACTGGCTAGGCCACTCCAGGACCTTGAAATGCTTCTTACGAAGCTACTCCTTCGTTGCCCGGGTGGTGTGTTTGGGATCATTGTCATGCTGAAATTCCCAGCCACGTTTCATCTTCAATGCCCTTGCTGATGGAAGGAGGTTTTCACTCAAAATCTCACGATACATGGCCCCATTCATTCTTTCCTTTACACGGATCAGTCGTCCTGGTCCCTTTGCAGAAAAACAGCCACAAAGCATGATGTTTCCACCCCCATGCTTCACAGTAGGTATGGTGTTCTTTGGATGCAACTCAGCATTATTTGTCCTCCAAACACGACGAGTTGAGTTTTTACCAAAAAGTTATATTTTGGTTTCATCTGACCATATGACATTCTCCCAATCCTCTTCTAGATCATCCAAATGCACTCTAGCAAACTTCAGACGGGCCTGGACATGTACTGGCTTAAGCAGGGGGACTCGTCTGGCACTGCAGGATTTGAGTCCCTGGCGGCGTAGTGTGGTACTGATGGTAGGCTTTGTTACTTTGGTCCCAGCTCTCTGCAGGTCATTCACTAGGTCCCCCCGTGTGGTTCTGGGATTTTTGCTCACCGTTCTTGTGATCATTTTGACCCCACGGGGTGAGATCTTGCGTGGAGCCCCAGATCGAGGGAGATTATCAGTGGTCTTGTATGTCTTCCATTTCCTAATAATTGCTCCCAGAGTTGATTTCTTCAAACCAAACTGCTTACCTATTGCAGATGCAGTCTTCCCAGCCTGGTGCAGGTCTACAATTTTGTTTCTGGTGTCCATTGACAGCTCTTTGGTCTTGGCCATAGTGGAGTTTGGAGTGTGACTGTTTGAGGTTGTGGACAGGTGTCTTTTATACTGATAACAAGTTCAAACAGGTGCCATTAATACAGGTAACGAGTGGAGGACAGAGGAGCCTGTTAAAGAAGTTGTTACAGGTCTGTGAGAGCCAGAAATCTTGCTTGTTTGTAGGTGACCAAATACTTATTTTCCACCATAATTTGCAAATAAATTCATTAAAAATCCTACAATGTGATTTTCTGGAATTTTTTTCTCTCAATTTGTCTGTCATAGTTGACGTGTACCTATGATGAAAATTACAGGCCTCTCTCATCTTTTTAAGTGGGAGAACTTGCACAATTGGTTGGCTGACTAAATACTTTCCCCCCCACTGTATATGGACAAGCAATGACAGAGCGGCATGGACTAAGATACAGTAGAATATTATAGAATACAGTATATACATATGAGATGAGTAGTGCAAGATATGTAAACATTATTAAAGTGACTAGTGTTCCATTTCTTAAAGTAGCCAGTGATTTCAATAGGCAGCAGCAGCCTCTAATGTGCTAGTGATGGCTATTTACCAGTCTGATGGCCTTGAGATGGAAGCTGTTTTTCATTCTCTCGGTCCCAGCTTTGATGCACCTGTACTGACCTCGCCTTCTGGATGATAGTGGGGTGAACAGGCAGTGGCTCGGGTGGTTGATGTCCTTGATGATCTTTTTGGCCTTCCTGTGACATCGGGTGCTGTATGTGTCTTGGAGGGCGGGTTGCCCCCGGTAATGCGTTCGGCAGAACGCACCACCCTCTGGAGAGCCCTGCAGTTGCAGGCGGTGCAGTTGCCGTTCCAGGTGGTGATACAGCCCAACAGGATGCTCTCAATTGTGCATCTGTAAAAGTTTGTGAGGGTTTTAGGTTCCAGCTTATGGTTATAATGGACAGCTTTCCTGCTCTCTACCCCCTCTGCTTTCGCTGCTCTGGCTGCTGTTATCTGATGTAAGGGGGGTAAAGCCACAAACATCCCCAAGGTAGTGAATTTTATGATCTTCATTCGTCTACCTTCTCACTCGCCCACTCACTAGGGTACATTTACATCTACGTTTACATCAAACATTTTAGCGGTCCCCCTCTTGACAGCGGAGATAAAACATTTTAGTTTTGGTGTTCATTTCCTGCAATTCTACATATTTTGCCATGGGGTGTAGAGAAAATGTTGCCGTTTAAAACAAGTTTGCTGCAATTCTACACATTTTGCCAAAGGGTGGAGAGAAATGTTTTTAATATGATATGAGTGAGAGTGATTAACAAAATCAATGGGGGGCCCCCGGTCGGAAATTCGACCATGATTACTAGACTAATTTACCAATGTAAAAAATGTTAGCTGACATGGGCTAATTGAGTGACTGACATAACAAGAGAAACTGCTGATGCACAACCAAATTTAGAAATTGCACCTTGTGTATCCTATTATTCTAACTCTCAACAGTAAATTGAGACCCAGACTGAGTTCCTATTTGATCCACCGGCCTACAAAAGGGGGGCGGCCCATGGGCCACCAGTTGCCCATCACTGGCCTACAACATGAACACATAGATGTAATCCTTCATACAACAACATTTAGGCTGTTTGTCAATAGACTTGAGCTGCCGGAGAGAAAAGGAACTCCGTATATCTTATGATTGTCATTGACTACCAAATTCTAAAATTATCTGGGTCATAAGAATGCATTGTTCCATAAATGTAAAGGTACCCAGATGAATGAAAGAAAATGGTTTTCCTGTTGATCAGTGAGTTTCTGACATAACAAGTTTGTCCTACTTTCTTAGTCATGTTTCATACTCTGCTCAAATCAGCAGAATGAGTTCACGTGGCTAGTCTAGCATGCTCATACATACTGAGAACTCTGTGGGCCACAAAGGTGCACATGAAGAACTAGCATATAACACCACAAAGGACATTTTGAATCAGGTTATGTAGATTTGAATCTCAAGTTCATGTTTGTTTTACCCAAGAGGATTCTACTTTAAAGAGCAACTGCCTTTAAAAGCAACAAATCCCTTTTAAAACGACTTATGTGGCATCTATATGAGTCAGAAATGTATTCCAGTGTCAAAATGGACTACAAAGTGTAAATAGGACAATTTTGATCATAAAGTCAGTCTTGTCTAAAACTGAGTTTGGAACATCCGTAAGTCACAATGGGTAAATGAAGGTTGGGTTTTGATTTGACGATTTACATTTGCCCACTAACATGGGGTGAACAGCCGCGGTGATTGCTCTCTATCCAATTGCACATATAATATAATATGCCATTTAGCAGATGCTTTTATCCAAAGCAACTTACAGTCATGTGTGCATACATTTTTTTACGTATGGGTGGTCCCGGGGATCGAACCCACTACCCTGGCGTTACAAGTGCCATGCTCTACCAATTGAGCTACAGAGGACCACATAGACAGTGAGACAGACCTGCCCAGCAGCCCGACTTTATTTACATAAGTCAACAAGTCACAATGTTTTTCTTGAGAAGTACTGCACCAAACACCTTAGTTAAATGTACAACTAAAACATCCTCTGCAAAAACGTCAACATTTATTACAGATTTCTTGAGTTATCTTAGTTATTCTGGGGATTTTTAAGTGAAATAGGCTACAGTGTCTCATGGGGGAAAAACATAATTAACCAAATGCGGAATTGGTTAGGAAACACAACTCCAGAACTGAAATTAACAGTAAGTAACAGTAAAACACACGTGCCAATCGGCGTGTTCAGTGGCTCTTTAAATGTAGAGAGATTGCTTGGTCTGATATTAATGTTCTTCCTTTTTGTCATTGTAGGAACTATCCCCCAGGCAATTAGCAGACACTCAGAAGAAGTTTGACAATTATGACAAGGTGATCATTCTAAGTGAAAAATATTTTTAAGCCATGTCTTACAATGTAGGTGTGCTCAATTTCGATCAACCTCATACAGGCTCCATTGCCGTAGATTGCCTGTCTTGTGGAAGTGTTTAAATGTCCAAGGTTCTTCCAAGATCCTGACTCTTACTGTGTTTCAACTATCCGCTTCACAGGACAGAACTGGTGGGATATGCAAAGAGGATTTGAAGGCTCTGTTTGGAGATGTCTTTCCCAACTTCAACAAGTATGTTTGGGCCATGTCATTCAAGCAACATGACAAAACACAGAGTGCTGCATTCTTGGACCAATATTAAACCAAAAAGCATGCATTTCCATTGAAAATGCTTTGTCATTCAGGAATAGACGTGGTCTGGGGAAACCTGCCCTGATTGCAACGCTAGTACTACAATGCTACTTGTGGTCAGAATCCACAGTTCATCCAGTTTTCCTTAAAGGTGCACTATGCAGAAATCGCTCTGCCATAAGTTACATATTGCAGCTTTAACACAACAAGTCGTTGTCTGTGTGTCCAATAACAGGAACATGCTGGAGAGGTTCGTCACTGATGAACTCCGAGCCGGAGACAAAGCCTCCAGTAAATGTAAGTGTTCTGTAGACTGACACGAAGTGATGTATTGTTAATGAATGGTTGCTATAATTACAAGCATGGCAACACAAAGCTGAGGGAAACGTCGTCATCTAATGCTTTGTCTCTGTGTTTCTGTAGCTAGTGACTTCCAGGAGTTTCTGGGCTTGTACAAGCGCTTCTTCAATCAGTGTCAAAGTGTGGTAAGACACTTTTACTATTCAGTTTTTGATCAAATCATAGATTGAACTTTGTATGAACCGTTCCTTTCTGTGAGACAACACATTGTCATAAGAGTCCTTCCCTTACAGATCACCCATGACACCAGTGATGTCATTCACAATCCCAGTCAATTTGTTGAGGAGAAGATGAGCCCTTCACCTGCTAGTAAGGTACGTTGGCTCTATTCAAACTATAGTGCACTGCATGTTCTAGTGCTGTAGTTCTGTCTATAAAATAGTTTCTCATAACATAACTATTGTCTTACTTAGTTAATATTGCGTTCCTTTAATACCTGTTTGCGAACAGCTTACTTGCGAATCAATACATTTCTACAGAACTTGCCCTGAAGTAACATGAACTCATAACAAGAGACCTAGCTTTGTATTTCCGGGATGGGAACATAGGGTATAAATGACATGGACATTTAATAGAATGTTGATTGTTAAAACAAAGCCTCTGTTTTTTTACGCTTTCTTTCAAAAGGATGAAGAGGTCAGTAGACTAAACTGTATTTGATTCTCCCTAAATGTTAGCCTCCTTTTAGGGCCCAGTACCCAACATGTTAGTGAGGCAGCAAATGTATGAGGAGGCTGATAGCGGTGTTCTCATACACAGATCCCCAGGTTTAAAGGACATAAGCACAGTGCACAGGAGGAGGAGAAGGCTGACACCAAGGTAAACTGCAAGACGGGGAACAGGGTTGTGTTCATTAGGCACCAAAACAGAATAGAATGTTCCAAAAGGGGGAGGGACTAGCTGGACATGTCCAATAAGCAACACTAGTTTTCGTTTGGTTTGCCCTAATGAACACAACCCTGGTGTACAATAGGCTCATACCAACGTATCCAGGGGGAATTTCTCTCAACACTGGCTGGAGTGCGCTTTTAACCAATCAGCATTCAGGATTAGACCCATCCGTTGTATAATTGGTATGGTGTGACCACTAGCACTTAACAACTAAAGTCAACTGCTTCTTAACTGGGCTCTAACTACTGAGATACAGCCTCTAAAATGTGTTTTATCACCCAAATCTGATTCTAATGAATTATGAGTGTTGACAGTTTTGATTGAAAATCTCTTGACTGTGTTGTGTGCATGTATTTTACTAATGGCTCAACTTCACTGTCCTAATGGTTGATAAAGACTAACATAGCTGATGGGTTAGTTCTCAACATTTCCTCTAGCTAATATTTCAGTGCCACAACTAACTCTCCCTGTCGCTTCAAGTCTTCTTACCATTTGCAAATAAATGCTAGCTAACCCACTCAAATAAACAGAAGCAACTTTAAACTTGTGTTTTTGTGTTATGTTTGTTGTCTTGTTCCTGTATGTACCACACAGGGCGAGGAGATCAGCCACAGTGACACCAGCCTGAACTTCGGCTCTCTAAAGGGCAAAGGTCAGGGTCACGTGATGTCGAGGTACAGCGAGGCGTCCGGGGACAATGGCAACGCCCCCGTGGCGAGCCTGAAGAAGGGTCTCCAGGTAGAGGAGGAAGCAGATGAGGGTGACTCGTTCTTTGACGACCCTCTGCCTAAACCACAGAAAACCTATGGCTGGTGAGGACGCTTTGACCATCGGGGGGGGGTGGGGTGTGTCTTGACTAACACAGGCTTTCTTTCTAGGTCCCTTACATTAAAGAGATGGAGAATGTAGCCTATGTGATCCTCTATTGAACAGGAGTGCTGCTCCATGATCCATCACATAAGTAATGCATTAGTGATAAATGTATAACATGGATGTTATTAATATTAGCATAGAAATTGATCATGACAAATGTTGCCACCGTATATCTAAGAATCTTAAAATGCAGGGGCGTTAATTAACTCTGAGGGGTTAGGTCTATGTGGAAAAAGTGGAGAAGTTTGGCACTGTCGCGGCTCTGCTCACTGAATGTTGTCTCTCTCCTCTGTAATGCTGCGTATGGAAGCAGTAGTGTCCCCCTGACTAAGAGTAATTCAGGGGCCAGTCTGTCTGACAAGAGAAACAGTCAGAAAGAGTAAGTATGTCTTCACTGTAAACTCAATGAGTTAGTAGTTGGAAAAGCAGGGCTGTGTTCACTAGGGAACACCGTAACAAATAATTTTGCAACGGATAACAAAATCACACAGGTATTCCCTCCCTGTTTCAGTCAGTTTTCTTCCGTTTGGTGCCTAATGAACACAACCCTGTTCTATCTATAGAAGGTCATCTGAAAGAGATATCAGTGTTGGGTTAGTATTCTGTGCTCTTGTTGAAAGTACAAAGGAGGTGTTTGTTAAGATGACTAAAGACCCTCAGAAACATGGACCTGTGTGACCTAGGTCTAAGTTGTGTGGTAGATGGTGGGTGGTTTGGTTTCACACAGGAGCACTGTGCTGTCTTGATCTGCTCTGCTGCTGCGCCGTGACCTTGTTCTTCCACTGTAGTTTCTCCTGTCTGCCCTGCTTCCCTCTGTCTCCTCCCTTCTTTCTTTCTGTTTATCTGTGTGTGTCCCTTCCCTCTGTCCCCAAGCAGCTTCGTCCACTCTTTGAGGGAGGAGAGCCTCTCAGGGCGCTCCTTTAGCCCAATAAGGAGGGGCACTAGCCTCAATGAGTGAGTGTGCATGGTGTTGGTGTGTCACTCCTCCATTCGCTAAGTCAGTTGTGCACCTCTGAGTGATGAGGTGTGAAAAATCACGTCTCTACTGTAATTAATGTTGTTTTGTAACGTTTGCTGTCAGCTTTGGAATCAATAGCCTGTCCTTTAACATCCAATATGGAGGTTATGGACTTGTACTTTTCCCTTTTTTTTCTCTGCATGTGTGTGTGTGTATTTTCGTGTGTGTGTGTATTTTCGTGTATGTGTGTATTTCTGTGTGTGTGTGTGTTGTGTGAGTGTTCTTCCTTAACTGCTCTCCTTTGTGTGTCCTGTGTGTGTCCTGTCTGTCTCTCCTCTCTCTCTCTGGGCTCAGCCTGTCTGCTCTGGGCAGTGACACAAAGGGTGACGGGGACCAGCTCTTTTCTGACTATGATAATAAACTGAGCTGCTCGGGGAACAGGTGAGCTGCAGGCTCAAGGCAGGCATCTCTCTCTCTCTCTCTCTCTCTCTCTCTCTCGCTCGCTCTGTCGCTCTGTCGCTCTGTCTCTCGCTCTGTCTCTCGCTCTGTCTCTCGCTCTGTCTCTGTCTGTCGCTCTGTCTCTCTCTCTGTGCACACTCTCCTTCTTTATATCAAATACCTGTCTCCTCTACCTTAGTGAATGGCTCCTCTACCTTAGTGAATGTGTGTTATTGTTGACTGTGTGTGTCCTCCAGACTGAGGCCTTGCCTCTTCTGTTCATCCCCCAGGAGAGCAGCAGATTTGGGCAGGGGAGCGGGCAGCAGCTCCCTGGCCTCCCAGAGGAGTGTTGCAGGTGTGGGGTCCCACTCAGGAGAAGCCCACCACAGAGACCTCTCAGGTAGCAGGAACGGTGAGGGAAGTGTGTGTAAGGAAGATATACTGAGTGTATAAAACATTAGGAACACCTTGCTAATATTGAGTTGCACTCCAAAACATTAGGAACACCTTCCTAATATTGAGTTGCACTCCAAAACATTAGGAACACCTTGCTAATATTGAGTTGCACTCCAAAACATTAGGAACACCTTCCTAATATTGAGTTGCACTCCAAAACATTAGGAACACCTTCCTAATATTGAGTTGCAATCCAAAACATTAGGAACACCTTGCTAATATTGAATTACACCCCCTTTTGCCCTCAGAACAGTATCAATTTGGGGCATGGACTCTACAAGGTGTCAAAAGCATTCATTTACATTTACATTTACGTCATTTAGCAGACGCTCTTATCCAGAGCGACTTACAAATTGGTGCATTCACCCTATAGCCAGTGGGATAACCACTTTACAATGTGTTTATTTATTTGTTTTTTTGGGGGGGGGGGGGGTAGAAGGATTACTTTATCCTATCCCAGGTATTCCTTAAAGAGGTGGGGTTTCAAATGTCTCCGGAAGGTGGTGAGTGACTCCGCTGTTCTGGCGTCGTGAGGGAGCTTGTTCCACCATTGGGGTGCCAGAGCAGCGAACAGTTTTGACTGGGCTGAGCGGAACTATGCTTCCGCAGAGGAAGGGGAGCCAGCAGGCCAGAGGTGGATGAACGCAATGCCCTCGTTTTGGGTGTAGGGACTGATCAGAGCCTGAAGGTACGGAGGTGCCGTTCCCCTCACAGCTCCATAGGCAAGCACCATGGTCTTGTAACAGATGCGAGCTTCAACTGGAAGCCAGTGGAGTGTGCGGAGGAGCGGGGTGACGTGAGAGAACTTGGGAAGGTTGAACACCAGACGGGCTGCGGCATTCTGGATGAGTTGTAGGGGTTTAATGGCACAGGCAGGGAGCCAAGCCAACAGCGAGTTGCAGTAATCCAGACGGGAGATGACAAGTGCCTGGATTAGGACCTGTGCCGCTTCCTGTGTAAGGTAGGGTCGTACTCTCCGAATGTTGTAGAGCATGAACCTACAGGATCGGGTCACCGCCTTGATGTTAGCGGAGAACGACAGGGTGTTGTCCAGGGTTACGCCAAGGCTCTTCGCACTCTGGGAGGAGGACACAACAGAGTTGTCAACCGTGATGGCGAGATCATGGAACGGGCAGTCCTTCCCCGGGAGGAAGAGCAGCTCCGTCTTGCCAAGGTTCAGCTTGAGGTGGTGATCCGTCATCCATACTGATATGTCTGCCAGACATGCAGAGATGCAATTCACCACCTGGTTATCAGAAGGGGGAAAGGAGAAGATTAGTTGTGTATCGTCAGCGTAGCAATGATAGGAGAGGCCATGTGAGGATATGACGACAGCCAAGTGACTTGGTGTATAGCGAGAATAGGAGAGGGCCTAGAACTGAGCCCTGGGGGACACCAGTGGTGAGAGCACGTGGTGCGGAGACAGCTTCTCGCCACGCCACTTGGTAGGAGCGACCGGTCAGGTAGGACGCAATCCAAGAGTGAGCCGCGCCGGAGATGCCCAGCTCGGAGAGGGTGGAGAGGAGGATCTGATGGTTCACAGTATCAAAGGCAGCAGACAGGTCTAGAAGGACAAGAGCAGAGGAGAGAGAGTTAGCTTTAGCAGTGCGGAGGGCCTCCGTGACACAGAGAAGAGCAGTCTCAGTTGAATGACCAGTCCTGAAACCTGACTGGTTTGGATCAAAGGTCATTCTGAGAGAGATAGCAAGAGAGTTAGCTAAAGACGGCACGCTCAATAGTTTCGGAAAGAAAAGAAAGAAGGGATACTGGTCTGTAGTTGTTGACATCAGAGGGATCGAGTGTTGGTTTTTTGAGAAGGGGTGCAACTCTCGCTCTCTTGAAGACGGAAGGGACATAGCCAGCGGTCAAGGATGAGTTGATCAGCGAGGTGAGGTAGGGGAGAAGGTCACCGGAGATGGTCTGGAGAAGAGAGGAGGGGATAGGGTCAAGGGGATGCTGGCCCTAGTTGACTCCAATCCTTCCCACAGTTGAGTCAAGTTGGCGGGATGTCCTTTGGGTGGTGGACCATTGTTGATACACACGGGAAACTGTTGAGCGTGAAAAACCCAGTGACATCAATAAGGGATCATAGCTTTCACCTAGTCAGTCTATGTCATGGAAAGAGCAAGTGTTCATAATGTTTTGTACACTGTGGTCAAAAGTTTTGAGAATGACACAAGTGTTGGTCTTCACAAAGTTCGCTGCTTCAGTGTTATGAGATATTTTTGTCAGATGTTACTATGGTATACTGAAGTATAATTACAGTCATTCCATAAGTGTCAAAGGCTTTTATTGACAATTACATTAAGTTTATGCAAAGAGTCAATATTTGCAGTGTTGACCCTTCTTTTTCAAGACCTCTGCAATCCGCCCTGGCATGCTGTCAATTAACTTCTGGACAACATCCTGACTGATGGCAGCCCATTCTTGCATAATCAATGCTTGGAGTTTGTCAGAATTTGTGGGTGTTTGTTTGTCCACCTGCCTCTTGAGGATCGACCACAAGTTCTCAATGGGATTAAGGTCTGGGGAGTTTCCTGGCAATGGACCCAAAATTTCGATGTTTTGTTCAACGAGCCACTAAGTTATGACTTTTGCCTTATGGCAAGGTGTTCCATCATGCTGGAAAATGCATTGGTCATCACCAAACTGGTCTTGGATGGTTGGGAGAAGTTGCTCTTCGGAGGATGTGTTGGTACCATTCTTTATTCATGGCTGTGTTTTTAGGCAAAATTGTGAGTGAGCCCACTCCCTTGGCTGAGAAGCAACCCCACACATGAATGGTCTCAGGATGCTTTACTGTTGGCATGACACAGGACTGATGGTAGCGCCCCCCTTATCTTCTCCGGACAAGGTGTTTTCCGGATGCCCCAAACAATCGGAAAGGGGATTCATCAGAGAGGAAAAACATTTTTTATTTTACCCCAGTCCTCAGCAGTCCAATCCCTGTACCTTTCCTTGCAGGTAACCATAGTTAACAGAGGACGAACAATGATTTCAAGCACCACCCTCCTTTTAAAGCTTCCAGTCTGTTATTCTAACTCAATCAGCATGACATAGTGATCTCCAGCCTTGTCCTCATCAACACTCTCACCTGTGTTAACGAGAGAATTACTGACATGATGGCAGCTGGTCCTTTTCTGGCAGGGCTGAAATGCAGTGGAAATGTTTTTTGGGGATTAAGTTCATTTTCATGGCAAAGAGGGACTTTGCAATTAATTGCAATTCATCTGATCACTCTTCATGTCATTCTGGAGTATATGCAAATTGCCATCATCAAAACTGAGGCAGCAGACTTTGTGAAAATTAGTATTTGTGTCATTCTCAAAACCTTTGACCACGACTGTATGCTGGAATAGAGGACGCAACTTTAACATCAGTATGTGTATGTGAACAGTAAATGCTTGTATTTATTTATTATGTTTTTTCTGTCAAGCACTATTACACTTCATTGATTTGAATGGGTTTGTTAGGGGTTTGTTCAGGTTTTTTTCTCTTGCGAATTAATGCTTGAATTCTTTCAGGTACTTCAAACTCCAAAGACAAAGGATTCAAAGACTTTAAGACGATGAATGATAAAACTGGATCTTCCGTGCAGGGTATGATGTTAACCCAGTTCCATGTTTATTTCTTTATTTTCTATGATGTTTTGGTGGGTTACTGTAATACCCCGCCACAAGTGGCAGAATCTATATTACAGTAAATAATACGGCTAAACTCCAATGTACTAATAGATGGTAAACCAATGTTCTTGAAGAGAGTGTATAAGGAAGGTATCATGTTTATTAATGACATTGTAAACAACAACGGTCAAATTATGTCACATAAGCAATTAATCAGGGTGTATGGAGATGTATGCTCAATACAAAATTATAACCAACTCATTGCAGCTCTGCCACAAAAATGGAAGTGGCAATTACTTAAAAGAGAAAGGAATGAGCTAGTTTGTCTGACACCAATAAAAAATTATAAATGGCTTTAAATGACCAATATTAATCGTGAAATGTGTCCATTTCGCTTAGGGTCAAGAGGTTTGACACCTATGCCGCATAAAATACAAGATGGTTGGGAAGAGATTTTCGATGTCCCAATACCATGACATGGGGTTTATGAACTGATATATGAAACAACAATTGACACATCAATCCGTTATTTTCAATGTAAGCTATTATATGAAATTCTCGCTACAAAAAGAATGCTCAGTATATGGGGCAATGAACAGTCAGAGCGATGCGGACTCTGCCATGTTGAAACATCTCTTTTGGTACTATCCATCGGTGGCTTGTTTTTGGAGTCAGGTCCAGGAATGGTTGTTATGCCATAATATCAGGGTGTGGTTGGACCTGCAAACTGTATTGTTGGGGGATTTGAAGGACCACAGTCAGGCAATAGGAAATATCATTATGCTCTCGGGTAAAATGTTTATTTTTGGGCCAATTTGGACAGAACATTTGCAGATAGGAAGGTTCAAGGCCCTAGAGAGACACCACGGTAGAATGGATGATGTATTGCAGGTGGAAATGGTAGAATTATGATTTACTGGGAAAGGTGGGTTGATCTGTGGCTGTCTGAATGTTGGAATGAATGAGTGTTGGAAGAAATACATAGGCATGGCATGCACAGTATAAGTGTTTGAGGTCCTCCAATCGGGCGAGGGTGGGGATGTGATTATTATATGTTTGGTGTTATGGTTTCACAATTTGAGCGGTGTGTGTGCTGGTCTTGGTGGTTATGGGTGTACTCACTTCCATGCCCGCCTGGGCGTCCGGCGGGGCTTGGTCCTTCCCGCCGTTGGAAAATCCATTTGGGGCCGGGGCTTCGCCCTGCCAGCGTCTCGGGGCGGGTGGGGGCAAGCACACCCACTGACCAGAGTACCCACTGATGAGAGCAGCAATTCATATTGTTGTTGTTTCAATTTTTGTTTAAAATACCCCACTGTTTTAACAGATGATGACGTTGACTATGACGATGACTTTAACAGGTAATATAGGGCATTGTCCTGAGTCTTCACTAGATCTCACTAGCAATTTTTAGATGGAGTTCAGTGCTCTTTCAGTTGTATTCCTTATCTGTACCATGATAGATATCAATCTAAAGGGTTTCCTCTGTGTTTCTGGTTTACCACCATCAGCCATCGATCAGATATCTCCAAGAGCGAGGTGAGCATCGGAGAAGAGATCGAGGAGGTTTCCATCGAGGGACCTGACAACAGCGATAAGGTGTGTGTGAAAGTAAGGGCAACGGGTATTCAACCTACAGGTCTGTGTTCAGATAGTGAGCAGCAGTGGTCTCCTCTAGTAGTCTAGACTCAGAAATAGGAAGTTATTTACTACACTTTGTTCAGGTTTAGTTGTATGTAGAGAAAATGAAAGCTAGTTGAAGACGTCGACTTGCAAATGTCAGAGTGTTGTAGCAAATTGTCTTTGTCCTCAGTCAAACACAAATAGTTTTTTGTAGAATTAAGATAGACTTTATTACATGTGTAATAGAGCAGAGGTGGGGTGCAGAGCATCTTATTGTCCACCTCCCAGCTCTGTTTTATATAGTCATTTTACATACATTTTTATCTTAACCCCTCCCTCTTGGGTTCCACCACCACTGTCTTCAGTTTCCCCTCTTGACCGCTCCACCTAAGCCTAAACCCTCTGTCCCAGCCTGTCACGCTATAATTTAATCAGGAAGACACTCAAGAAGAGACAGAGTTCAGCCTGGTTTCAGTCACTGATAAGATAATACAACCGAAGACAGGTCAGATGACCAGAGAATAAACACATGAACCCAGTGAGAGAAACCAATTACGTTCTTGCCGAGCAACAGAGATGTATCAATGTTTAACCCTGGCTCTGTGTTTGATGATTAACCATGTCTATCCCATAGTCCACTGAAAGATCCTCATCATATGGTTAAAATCTAACAGAGCCATTTCCTGGCTCTGTTTCACAATTCCCTGAGCTATTTCCTTGATCTGTTTCAGGCCTCTTCTTATCATGTTTATGATGTAATTAAGTATGCTTACTATGCTTAAATGGAAAATCCCCATCAAGAGTATCAAGCAATTGGTGAAATAAATATCCCAGTAGGGTGTGGGGATATGAATCAAAATGTTATCAACAGTTTATTCTCTTTGAGTACACTATATGACCAAAAGTATGTGGACACCTGCTCGTCGAACATGTAATTCCAAAATCATGGGCATTATTATGGAGTTGGTTCCCCCTTTGCTGCTTTAACAGCCTCCACTCTTCTGGGAAGGCTTTCCACTAGATGTTGGAACGTTGCTGCGGGGACTTGCTTCCATTCAGCCACAAGAGCATTAGTGAGGTTGGGCACTGATGTTGGTCGATTAGGCCTGGCTCACAGTCAGCATTCCAATTCATTTCAAAGGTGTTCCATGGGGTTGAGGTCAGGGCTCTGTGCAGGCCAGTCAAGTTCTTCGACACCGATCTCAACAAACCATTTCTGTATGGACCTCGCTTTGTGCACAGGGGCATTGTCATGCTGAAACAGGAAAGGACCTTCCCCAAACTGTTGCCACAAAGTCACTGAGCTCTTCAGTAAGGCCATTCTACTGCCAATTTTTGTCTATGGACATTTTATGGCTGTGTGCTCGATTTTATACACCTGTCAGCAACGGGTGTGGCTGAAATAGCCGAATCCACAAGTTTGAAGAGGTGTCCACATACAGTGCATTCGGAAAGTATTCAGACGCTTTACTTTTTACACATTATGTTACAGCCTTATTCTAAAATTGATTAAATAGTTTTTTCCCCTCTTCAATCTACACACAATAACCCATAATGACAAAGCAAAAACAGGTTTTTAGAATTTTTTGCAAATGTATTAAAAATAAAAAAAACTATCACATTTGCATAAGTATTCCGACCCTTTACTTAGTACTTTGTTGAAGCACCTTTGGCAGCGATTACAGCCTCGAGTCTTGGGTATCATGCTACAAGCTTGGCACACCTGTGTTTGGGGAGTTTATCCCATTCTTCTCTGCAGATCCTCTCAAGCTATGTCAGGTTGGATGGGGAGCGTTGCTGCACTGTCTTTTTCAGGTCTCTCCAGAGATGTTTGATCGGGTTAAAGTCCGGGCTCTGGCTGGGCCACTCAAGGACATTCAGAGACTTGTCCCGAAGCCTCTCCTGCGCTGTCTTGGCTGTGTGCTTAAGGCTGTTGTCCTGTTGAAGGTGAACCTTCTCCCCAGTCTGAGGTCCTGAATGCTCTGGAGCAGGTTTTCATCAACAATCTCGCTGTACTTTGCGCTGTTCATCTTTCCCTCGATCCTGACTAGTCTCCCAGTCCCTGCCGCTGAAAAACATCCCCACAGCATGATGCTGCCACCACCATGCTTCACCATAAGGATGGTGCCAGGTTTCCTCTAGACGTGACGCTTGGCATTCAAGCACAGGAGTTAAATATTGGTTTCATCAAAGCAGAGAATCTTGTTTCCTTTAGGTGCCTTTTCGTAAACTCCAAGCGGGCTGTCATGTACCTTTTTACTGAGGAGTGGCTTCTGTCTGGCCACTCTACCATAAAGGCCTGATTGGTGGAGTGCTGCAGAGATGGTTGTCCTCCTGGAAGGTTCTCCCATCTCCACAGAGGAACTCTGGAGCTTTGTCAGAGTGACCATCGGGTTCTTGGTCACTTCCCTGACAAAGGCTCTTCTCCCCTGATTGCTCAATTTGGCCGGGCGGCCAGCTCTAGGATGAGTCTTTTTTGGTACCCTTCCCCAGATCTGTGCCTCGACACAATCCTGTCTCAGAGCTCTACGGACAATTCCTTCAACTTCATGGCTTGGTTTTTGCTCTGACATGCACTGTCAACTGTGGGACCTTATATAGAGAGGTGTGTGCCTTTCCAAATCATGTCCAATCAATTGAATGTACCACAGGTGGACTCCAATCAAGTTGTAGAAACATCTCAAGGATGATCAATGGAAACATGATGCTCCTGAGCTCAATTTCGAGTCTCATAGCAAAGGGTCTGAATACTTATGTAAATAAGATGTTTTTATTTTGTTTGTATACATTTGTTAAAATGTCTAAATCTGTTTTCGCTTTGTCATTATGGGTTATTGTGTGTAGATTGATAAGGAAAACAAATAATTTAATCCATTTTAGAATAAAGCTGTAACAATTTTTTTTGGGAAGAGTCAAGGGGTCTGAATACTTTACGAATACACTGTATATAATTTGAAAACCTAGGTTATTCAGCCAATCAGTACTTTAGTGTGTGTGTGTGTGTGTATGTATGTTTATGTGTATATACAGTGGGGAGAAAAAGTATTTGATACACTGCAGATTTTGCAGGTTTTCCTACTTACAAAGCATGTAGAGGTCTGTCATTTTTATCATAGGTACACTTCAACTGTGAGAGACGGAATCTAAAACAAAAATCCAGAAAATCACATTTGTATGATTTTTAAGTAATTCATTTGCATTTTATTGCATGACATAAGTATTTGATACATCAGAAAAGCAGAACTTAATATTTGGCACAGAATCCTTTGTTTGCAATTACAGAGATCATACGTTTCCTGTAGGTCTTGACCAGGTTTGCACACACTGCAGCAGGGATTTTGGCCCACTCCTCCATACAGACCTTCTCCAGATCCTTCAGGTTTCGGGGCTGTCGCTGGGCAATACGGACTTTCAGCTCCCTCCAAAGATGTTCTATTGGGTTCAGGTCTGGATACTGGCTAGGCCACTCCAGTACCTTGAGATGCTTCTTAAAGAGCCACTCCTTAGTTGCCCTGGCTGTGTGTTTCGGGTCGTTGTCATGCTGGAAGACCCAGCCACGACCCATCTTCAATGCTCTTACTGAGGGAAGGAGGTTGTTGGCCAAGATCTCGCGATACATGGCACCATCCATCCTCCCCTCAATATGGTGCAGTCGTCCTGTCCCCTTTGCAGAAAAGCATCTCCAAAGAATTATGTTTCCACCTCCATGCTTCACGGTTGGGATGGTGTTCTTGGGGTTGTACTCATCCTTCTTCTTCCTCCAAACACGGCGAGTGGAGTTTAGACCAAAAAGCTCTATTTTTGTCTCATCAGACCACATTACCTTCTCCCATTCCTCCTCTGGATCATCCAGATGGTCATTGGCAAACTTCAGATGGGCCTGGACATGCGCTGGCTTGAGCAGGGGGAACTTGCGTGCGCTGCAGGACTTTAATCCATGACGGCGTAGTGTGTTACTAATGGTTTTCTTTGAGACTGTGGTCCCAGCTCTCTTCAGGTCATTGAACAGGTCCTGCCGTGTAGTTCTGGGCTGATCCCTCACCTTCCTCATGATCATTGATGCCCCACGAGGTGAGATGTTGCATGGAGTCCCAGACCGAGGGTGATTGACCGTCATCTTGAACTTCTTCCATTTTCTAACAATTGCACCAACAGTTGTTGCCTTCTCACCAAGCTGCTTGCCTATTGTCCTGTAGCCCATCCCAGCCTTGTGCAGGTCTACAATTGTATCCCTGATGACCTTACACAGCTCTCTGGTCTTGGCCATTGTGGAGAGGTTGGAGTCTGTTTGATTGAGTGTGTGGACAGGTGTCTTTTATACAGGTAACGAGTTCAAACAGGTGCAGTTAATACAGGTAATGAGTGGAGAACAGGAGGGCTTCTTAAAGAAAAACTAACAGGTCTGTGAGAGCCGGAATTCTTACTGGTTGGTAGGTGATCAAATACATTTACAATTTAGTCATTTTAGCAGACGCTCTTATCCAGAGCGACTTACAGGAGCAATCAGGGGTTAAGTGCCTTGCTCAAGGGCACAGACAGATTTTTCACCTAGTCGACTCGGGGATTAGAACCAGCGACCTTTCGGTTACTGGCACAACGCTCTTAACCACTAAGCGACCTGCCGCCCCAAATACTTATGTCATGCATTAAAATGCAAATTAATTACTTAAAAATCATACAATGTGATTAGATTCCGTCTCTCACAGTTGAAGTGTACCTATGATAAAAATTACAGACCTCTACATGCTTTGTAAGTAGGAAAACCTGCAAAATCTGCAGTGTATCAAATACTTGTTCTCCTCACTGTAGGTTTGAATAAACATGTAGGGTGTCTTTGGTGGTATTGGTATATTACCATGTCTCTCACACACTATCCCTTTCTTTTCTCCTCTCCCCCTCCATCTATCTATCCCCCCCATCAGTTTGATGAGATCACTCAGGACCTCAGTGTATCTCAGCTCAGCCAGACTCAAGGAGCTGACTACATGGAGGAGGTGGCATGACAGTCCATCAGCCTTACACCACACAGGACATTTCTACTACGTTAACTACTATTTATGTTATGTGTGTACCGGAGGAGGCTAGTGGGAGGAGCTATGTGAGGATGGGCTCGTTGTAATGGGTGAAATGGAATCTTTGGAACCGAGTCAAACGTGATTTCCATATGTTTGATCTGTTTTGATACCGTTCAGTTAATTCCATTCCAGTCATTACAATGTGCCCATCCGCCTATAGCTCTTCCCAACAGCCTCCTCTGGTGTGTACATAATTTGTGTACATTTGTGTTCACGGACCTAATAAAATGACCACTGTTACCCAGATTTTTCTTGAGGACTGTTTTTATTGTGCTCCTTTTTAATGTCATGTATACAGATATATGTCAAGGATCTCAGGGATGACATGAAACCACAATGTGGGAGTTTACTGTAATTTATGCTGTGGCACTGACTTAAGTTGGCAGACAGATTCAACCACAAAGACCAGGGTTTTTTTCAATGCCTCGCAAAGAAGGGAACCTAGTGGTAAATGGGTAAAAAAAAAAAAAAAAAAAAGCAGACATTGAATATCCCTTTGAACATCGTGAAGTTAACCATTACACTTTGGGTGGTGTTTTTTGCAAATGTATAAAAATAAACAGAAATACCTTATTTACATAAGTATTCAGACCCTTTGCTATGAGACTCGAAATTGAGCTCAGGTGCATCCTGTTTCAATTGATCATCCTTGATGTTTCTACAACTTGATTGGAGTCCACCTGTGGTAAATTCAATTGATTGAACATGATTTGGAAAGGCAGACACCTGTCTATATAAGGTCCCACAGTTGACAGTGCATGTCAGAGCAAAAACCAAGCCATGAGGTCAAAGGAATTGTCCGTAGAGCGCCGAGACAGGATTGTGTCGAGGCACAGATCTGGGGAAGGGTACCAAACAATTTCTGGAGCATTAAAGGTCCCCAAAAACACAGTGGCCTCGGTCATTCTTAAATGGAAGAAGTTTGGAACCACCTCTTCCTAGAGCTGGCCGCCCGGCCAAACTGAGCAATCGGGGGAGAAGGGCCTTGATCAGGGAGGTGACCAAGAACCCGATGGTCACTGACAGAGCTCTAGAGTTCCTCTGGGGAGATGGGAGAACCTTCCAGAAGGACAACCATCTCTGCAGCACTCCACCAATCAGGCCTTTATGGTATAGTGGCCAGATGGAAGCCACTCCTCAGTAAAAGGCACATGACAGCCCGCTTGGAGTTTGCCAAAAGGCATCTAAAGACTTTCAGACCATGAGAAACAAGATTCTCTGGTCTGATGTAACCAACATTGAACTCTTTGGCCTGAATGCCAAGCGTCACGTCTGAAGGAAAGCTGGCACCATCCCTATGGTGAAATATGGTGGTGGCAGCATCATGCTGTGGGGATGTTTTTCAGCGGCAGTGACTGGGAGACTAGTCAGGATCAAGGCAAAGATGAACGGAGCAAAGTACAGAGAGATCCTTGATGAAAACCTGCTCCAGAGCGCTCAAGACCTCAGACTAGGGTGAAGGTTCACCTTCCAATAGGACAACGACACGAAGCACACAGCTAAGACAATGCAGGAGTGGCTCTGGGACAAGTCTCTGAATGTCCTTGAGTGGCCCAGCCAAACCCAGGACTTGAACCCGATCGAACATCTCTGGACAAGTCTCTGAATGTCCTTGAGTGGCCCAGCCAAACCCAGGACTTGAGCCCGATCGAACATCTCTGGAGAGACCTGAAAATAGCTGTGCAGCAACGCTCCCATCCAACCTGCCAGAGCTTGAGAGGATCTGCAGAGAAGAATGGGAGAAACTCCCGAAATACAGAAGTGCCAAGTTTGTAGCGTCATACCCAAGACTCGAGGCTGTAATTGCTGCCAAAGTAGCTTCAACATAGTACTGAGTAAAGGGTCTGAATAGTTGTGTAAATGTGATATTTTTATTTTTTATAAATTAGCAAACATTTCTAAAAACCTGTTTTTTCTTTGTCATTATGGGGTATTGTGTGTAGATTGAGGAATATAAACAATTTAATCCATTTTAGAATAAGGCTGTAACCTAACAATGTGGAAAAAGTCAAGGGGTCTGAATACTTTCCGAAAGCACTGTGCGTAAATAAAATATTTATGTATTTTATTTTCAATAAAATAGCAAACATTTCTAAGAGCATGTTTTCACTGTCATTATGGGGTATTGTGTAAAATCAATTCTATAAAAAATTGTATTTGGACTGTAACAACAATGTGGAATAAGTCAAGGGGTATGAACTGTTTCTAAAGGCACTAAAATGTATGTATGCTTTATTCACATGAAATAACTAATCAGTGACACCGCTAATCAAGATATCAAGTTCTTTGACCTTTGAAACTTTATCCCCCACATAATGCATGTCTGTAATACTACAGCATTATACCTCAGGTTTGAGCATGTCATGCCAGGTTGTTTTTCTTACGTTTCTAATGTACCTAATATTCTAAATGGTTGAATGAAGAGAAGTGAGCAATCATTAACAGTCAATACATTTCATAAGTCAGAGTTTTTAAAGGTATAATGAGCATATTTATTGAGTTCCTCTGCTTTATCACGTGGTCTGTAGTTGTCAGCCAACAGGTTTTGATTTGAGAACGTAAGTGCATGCTGTGACACTGCTTGTTCCCACAGCTGACAGTCTAGGTTGATGAAATTGAGAAAAACTTTACTTCTTCCTGTTTTCTCTGAGATATTCTGAGGTTCACAGCGTCCTTTCAAACTTTGCTTAAAATAGTCCCAAGAATCTTTTGAAACTTGCTTACTATTCTGGTAAGTCCTCTCTTAAACCACACATGGAATAATATGTGACCTAATCAATCTTACCATGTTTAAAGATATATATATATATATATATATATATATATTTCCTTACTTATTGTAAGGAAAACTGCTGGGTTAACATGCACTTAAATGTTTATTTGGAAACATGACATTGAACTAGATCTTACTGTAGATTACATTGTGTCTATTGTAATCAAATATGTTGATTTCTAAGTCATGTCATACCTGAAATTGACAAAGTTGTTTGTAACTCGTTTAAATTCTACTTTTTGACTCTATTGTCTGAAATGTAATTGTCTGCATTGATGCACGTTGTACAATTTTAACTACCATTCATTAATTTCACAAAAGCAAGTTTTGTATCATAACAGTCTGTCAGTGGTGAAATAAGTACTCAATTGTCATACTTGAGTAAAAGTATAATAATAATATAATATAATATGCCATTTAGCAGACGCTTTTATCCAAAGCGACTTACAGTCATGCGTGCATATTTTTTTTTTTTTTTTTTTGTGTATGGGTGGTCCCGGGGATCGAACCCACTACCTTAGCGTTACAAGCGCCGTGCTCTACCAGCTGAGCTACAGAGGACCACAGTAAAAGTAAAGATGCCTTAATAGAAAATGACTCAAGTAAAACTGAACGTCACCCAGTAAAATACAACTTGAGTAAAAGTCTAAAACTACTTTTTTATTCCTTATATTAAGCCAACCAGACAGCACAATTTTCTTGTTTTTTAAATTTATGGATAGCCAGGGGCACACTCCAACAATCAGACATAATTTACAAATAAAGCATTTGTCTTTAGTGAGTCCTCCAGATCAGAGGCAGTAGGGATGACCAGGGATGTTCTCTTGATAAAAGTGTGAATTGGACCATTTCCCTGTGCTGCTAAGCGTTCAATTTTTAATGAGTACTTTTGGGTGTCAGGGGAAATGTATGGAGTAAAAAGTACATTATTTTCTTTAGGAGTGTAGTGAAGTAAAAGTAGAAGTTGTCAAGATATAAATAGTTAAGTAGTTTTTTTGAGTATATGTAGTTTACCTGAGTAGTACTTTAAAGTATTTTTACTTATGTACTTTACACCACTGATAACAGTTACTTGTGTGCAATAGGTTCATGCTACTTGAGACTGCTTCTATTTGTTGTTTAGGTTTATTACACGGTCTGAACTCACATAGCCTGGGAATAAATCCCCCTACATCTCAGGATCTTGCTGGAATGTATACATGCACTTTGCAGCTAGGAAAGGGGCACCTCACGCGGAGAATAAGCAATGTCTCACAAAAAAATATTCTACAACATAGCCTATGCAAAAGCCTTTGACTAGGTTGTCTGGCCCAGATGGATCCTTCACAGCCACCATCACCAATAGCTCAGTAGAGAAAAATAAAATAAAGCCAGTGGATTTATCTTTAGAAGACCTCACATGGATGTACAGTGAGGGAAAAAAAGTATTTGATCCCCTGCTGATTTTGTACGTTTGCCCACTGACAAAGACATGATCAGTCTATAATTTTAATGGTAGGTCTATTTGAACAGTGAGAGACAGAATAACAAAAAAATCCAGAAAAACACATGTCAAAAATGTTAGAAATTGATTTGCATTTTAATTAGGGAAATAAGTATTTGACCCCTCTGCAAAACATGACTTAGTACTTGGTGGCAAAACCCTTGTTGGCAATCACGGAGGTCAGACATTTCTTGTAGTTGGCCACCAGGTTTGCACACATCTCAGGAGGGATTTTGTCCCACTCCTCTTTGCAGATCTTCTTCAAGTCATTAAGGTTTCGAGACTGACGTTTGGCAACTCGAACCTTCAGCTCCCTCCACAGATGTTCTATGGGATTAAGGTCTGGAGACTGGCTAGGCCACTCCAGGACCTTAATGTGCTTCTTCTTGAGCCACTCCTTTGTTGCCTTGGCCGTGTGTTTTGGGTCATTGTCATGCTGGAATACCCATCCACGACCCATTTTCAATGCCCTGGCTGAGGGAAGGAGGTTCTCACCCAAGATTTGACGGTACATGGCCCCGTCCATCGTCCCTTTGATGCGGTGAAGTTGTCCTGTCCCCTTAGCAGAAAAACACCCCCAAAGCATAATGTTTCCACCTCCATGTTTCACAGTGGGGATGGTGTTCTTGGGGTCATAGGCAGCGTTTCTCCTCCTCCAAACACGGCGAGTTGAGTTGATGCCAAAGAGCTCGATTTTGGTCTCATCTGACCACAACACTTTCACCCAGTTCTCCTCTGAATCATTCAGATGTTCACTGGCAAACTTCAGACGGGCCTGTATATGTGCTTTCTTGAGCAGGGGGACCTTGCGGGCGCTGCAGGATTTCAGTCCTTCACGGCATGGTGTGTTACCAATTGTTTTCTTGGTGACTATGGTCCCAGCTGCCTTGAGATCATTGACAAGATCCTCCCGTGTAGTTCTGGGCTGATTCCTCACCGTTCTCATGATCATTGCAACTCCACGAGGTGAGATCTTGCATGGAGCCCCAGGCCGAGGGAGATTGACAGTTCTTTTGTGTTTCTTCC